AGATTTTGACCAATAACTGTTCAAATGTTTGTTTCTTCTGGTGAGGAGTTATGTGCTCTTCCCTGACTCCCTCCCTCTCTTTGGCTTGCTTTGGAAACTTATTGCAGGTCTTCTACTCTTATGTCTAATTATCTTTTATCTTAAAATGCAGGTCAAAGATACATGAAGATTGCAAAATCTCCAATGTCTCCACCTCTGCAATTTTGTTTCGAGATAACTGCTTCCGGAATTTCCTTCTTATGTGATGATGGTGTCGAAGTCTCAGGGCCACAAATTAATGCAATACACTCTCATGGTCAGTTATTGTCGTTTAGATAATGGCCTCACAACTACTGGTTTCAAGGCTTTAATGAACATATTACGCTCTCTATTAATAATTTTTCTTTGATATGTTACTGGCAATTTGGTGTCATGGAACAACTTATGATTTACTTCATGCATGTCTTGAGAATTCCTCATCATCTCTAATGTATCTGTCCTAGACTGCTTGGGAATTATCTCTGAACCATGTCAATGTTTTCAGGTCACAGCGACATTATCTATTGCGGTGATACGTGTTAGTCGAATTCTTTTGCTCAGAACAATGCCCTTTGATCAGTAATGGGTAATTTGAAGCACTTATCTAACTATAAATCTGATCTCTCCAGCCTTTCTTAATTAATCCACTTTGTAATCATGCATAAGATGTACAGAATATTTTTAACTATAATTTGCTGTTGTGATTTTGGATGTCTCAGACAACATACGGAGTAGTCGGTCAATTTGTTGGTTCAGTCCATGTTCGTATATATTATCCTACCTAGAAACTACTTTCATTTAATGGTTGAAAAACCAAAGAGAAAGAGACTTTTATAGTACTCTTTCCACTTTCTTTATTTCTTTTTATTTGACACGTTTTTTTAGTCTGTTTTCAATGCACAAATTCAACTATATAAGGTTGGGATCCAATGAGAAGAATGATAAGGATGAAATCTGCATAAAATTTTTACTAAATGTGCAAAATTGATTTTCAAACTAATACATATTTTGATTTTTCAGGAAAACTAGAAAATGTGCACATTATGAACACAATTTATGCACATTGAATTTGGGTCCTTTTTTTTCACATTTAGTTCAAAAAATATGTACATTTAGTTCAAAAGTAATGCACAAAAAATCCTTCTCACTTTAAGAAACTTCGCAGTTGACTCCAAATATATATACTATCTCTGATTTTTTTTTAGTTGCAACTTTGGAATATTTTATATCTCACAAATAATACCCCAAAGTTACAATTAAAAAAAATCGGAGGTAGTATATATATAACAAAGTTATAATGAGAACTAAGGCTATAATAAGAAATAAGAATTAATCTAGTCTCTTAGATCATGTTAATCAGACATAAAACATGATTCCCGTGTCATTAATGACATTTTTGTAATATTCAACTTTACAAAGTGATTTCCAGTTTTATTTCTAAAAAGTAAATGTAAAGTTAGTAAAAGTAAATGAAATTGCCTTAAAAGTTTTTATTTAATTTTATTATTATTTTGTACTACCTCCGGTCCAAATTACTCGCAACTTTGGAATATTTTATATCTCACAAATAATACCCAAAGTTGCGAGTAATTTGGACCGGAGGTAGTATTTTTTTTTTTAAAAAAAAACACTAGAAAAAAAGTTTTAAAATTCGCTAAATTATGAAAATGCCATTAATGAATGCGGGTGAGATGTGAGCCGTCGGATGTAGCGTGATTAAAGGCTGATATTGGTTCCTAGTTCCTATTATTCATCTTGGTTATCACATGATCTCAATTATATATATATATATATATATATATATATGATAAGGTGAAGACGGGAAATGATTTTGGCACATCCCTATGTGAGAACACAGTTTTTTATGTTCTTCTTACATATGGGTGTGCCAAAATCAATTTCTGGAGAAGACCCATCCTAGAAGAGAGGATGTAAAGGAATCCCTCCTAAAATGTTCTTGGTGAGAATCAACCTCTTGCCTCACGCCTATGTTAGAGAACTAGCCAACTACTATAGCCAGGCCCGTCGCTGAAGTGGGGCAGCCAGGGCACCCGCCCAGGGCCCACGAAAAGAGAGGCCCCATTTTCATCTTTATGTACAGGAGAAAGCTATATAAAATTTTTAGATGCAAATATCAACATTAGTAACTCTGTATCATAGTGGTTAAGTTAAGTTGTTGAGCTTTAATGTGTCTCAAGAGTCGGTGGTTCGACTACCATGAGCCCTAATTTCCTTTTCTTTTTTTTTTTTCCAAAATTACCCTCTATGTATTATCAATTTATCATATATATATATTCATAGTTAAAACTAGATTATTTGCTCTAAATTTTTTTTTAAAGACTGATAATTTGTTCATATTAAAGTGTATATATAAAAAAAATTCTCTTCAATAACAAAAAAAAAAATTACATATTATAGGGCCTTGATTTATTCTTTCGCCCTTGGGCCCCTGAAATCTCAAAATTGGCCCTGACTCTAGCCTTATATCTCCAAATATTATACTTTCTCCGTTTATTTTTAATTGCTACAGTTTTATTTTCACGATTTTGTAGACAATCTTTTAAGTAGATAGAGAAAGACAAATAAGAGGGATCCATGTAGGTAGGAGAGAGGTAGAGAAAAAGAAATGTCATAAATAAAAAGTGTTGCAACTAATTAACAATTTTCAAAATAGGAAAGTGTAGCAATTAAAACGAAAAGGAGGAAGTAATATATTTAATTACCAAGCAAAAATTTAAAAAGTTGATGTATTGAATACATATTGCGACAAATCTATCAAGATTTCACATGACTATATTTTTCATTACGTATAAATCATGCTCAAAGGCAAATATGTGAATAATGCTATAGTCAAAACGTGTTAAGAAAAAAAAAGGAGAAAGTGTTTGATGGTTTCATGTTGACTATTTATTTATTATTTTTTTTTGAAACATGTTGACTATTTATTAGTCAAATGTTTTTTATAAAAGAAAACAAATATTAACCAAAAACTCACATAAATATATATATATAAAATATGTGAGACAATTTTATATGTTTCAATGTGTAGTTTTATAAATTCAAATTTTATAATTTTTATTAATATATAATAAAGTTATTCATGGTGAAAGGCGTCTTAGAGACCATGCAAATTCAAAGTAGGACTATCAAATTGAATCAGAGGGAGTATCAACTATATGACATCCTACATTAAATGATCCCAACTTTCAAATAACTAAAAAGGTGCCGACTTTGAGGAAAGTCTATCTATATTAGGCTTGTGTTAGTTCAGTATTTTGTTACTTGCAAGCACTTACATTAAGGCTTCATATGGTTTGATGTAAAACTAGTGGGTAATCCGGGCGTTGTCCCGGGTTGCTATTGTTGTAGACGTGCAGTCGATGAATCTTTTAAAGGATTTTCTAAACTGCAATTGTCTTTGTCAAATCAAAGTTGTGCTATTTTGTAAGTATCTTTTTTTTTTCAATGAACCTTCTGGTTTCACTTAATGCAAAGTAAAGTTATATATATATATATATATATATATCTCCCTCCGTTACTTTTTACTCGCAACTTTGGAGGGAGGAACGGACTCCTAGGCAAAAGTTTTTAAGGAGAGATTATAAAGGGAGGGGCATGTGATTAGTAGAGTTAAAAAGGGAGGGAAAAGAAGTGGACCCATTTGCAAGTGGGTACATGTGACTTTTTTTTTTTCTCTCTCTCTCCTTTCTCTCTCCTTTCCCTCTCTTTTTACTCATTTGGCTGACAGATTTTTTGGAGGCTAAATGATTTAGCCTCCAAAATTTTCATGAAATTTCGAAAAGTTTGAAATTGAAATTTAAACACCAAAATGTAAGCCATAAGCTCCCTTTAAAAGGGCCAAACTGATTCATTCCACACCCACAACACCATTAGAGTTTCAAAAGGGAATTGGGGGGGGGAGGGAAATACAAATTATACTGTTAAATTACAGACCAGAAATTCTAAACACCAAAGTTTGAAAATTACAAAAGTCATCAACATCATCTAGAATTAGTCCTAATTCCTAATTGCTGAGTTAGTAGCAGCAACATTAGTGAATTTGTACAGAATTAGGCTCAATTGAAAGCTCTCAAAAAAAGGCAAGTCACCTCCACTTCATCACCTACCATCAAATCCGCAAAAAAAAAAAAAAAATGGGACTCATGGCAGAAATCGAGGATGAATTTTTCAATATCAACCAATTGCTCATGGAGCATATGACAGAGATGGAAGAAAATTCCATGCATTCACCATCAGGGTTAGGGACAGAATCACAACAATCATCTCAACAGGAACACAGTGAAGGCACTCAGACAGGGGACTCAGATACAGAGGAAGAGCAAGACAACAATGCAGCAAACAATGGGAGGCAAAGCAGAGAACTCAGCATTCAACAGAAAAGACAGATAGTAGATGATATTCTACTGAATATGGAAGGTGGCTCACTCCCAAGAGGAATGCTCTCCTATTTGGCTAGGAAACATCAAGTACACAAATCAACTACAACCATATGGCTTCAAGTAATAAAAAAAACACATGCAACTGGGAGAAGTAGTTGATGTCAGAACCAAGAAGCTAGGCAAAACAGGAAGAAAGACCATTGAATATTCTGATGAGTGGCTTATGTCAGTGCCACTGTACAAGAGCACCACAAAAAAAAGCTATGGGGCAACTCTGAATGTTAGCCATGTTCTTATTCACAGATTAAAAAAAAAAGAGGCAAACTCAGGGCAGTTTTAGCAAGTAATCACCCTGCACTAACTGATAATCACAAGATTGCAAGGCTCAAGTGGGTTCTACAACACATACTTCCAGTTCCAAGTGAGGGGGACCCTTCATTCATAGATATGCAACATTACATCCATATTGATGAGAAATGGTTCTACTTGAACCCAGAGACAAGGACCTTCTTTCTAACACCAAATGAGGAGGTTCCTTACAGAGCACAAGAGTAAAAAAGATTTAAATTGAAGGCAATGTTCATGGGTATGGTTGGAAAACCATTATATGCACAAGATGAGACTATGCTACACTCAGGGAAGTATGGTTTGTTCCCATTTGTGAAGCATGAAAGGGCAAGAAAGAAAAGCAAGAACAGAGAGGCAGGGACAATTGAAACAAAAGACATTCAAAGTGTGAACAAGGATGCAATTAGGGAAATGATTTTGGACAAAATCATTCCAACAATACATGCAGAATGGCCACCAGAATTGTCAAAAAACATAATCATACAATGGGACAATGCTAGGCCTCACCAAGTTCCAAAAGATGAAGAGTTTTTGGCTGCCACTCAAGCTAATGGGTTCAACATTCAGTTTGTATTCCAACCTGCCCAATCCCCTGACCTAAATGTACTGGATCTTGGGTTATTCAAGGCTATACAATCAAATCAGTACCAATCATTTCCAACTAACTTGGATGAGCTAATTGAGAAGGTGGATGAGGCATTTGAGATGTTTGATCCAACACTAAATAGATACACTTGGATCACACTTCAGTCTTGTATGATTAAAGTGTTGGAAAAGCAAGGTGGAAACAACTTTAATCCACCACACATGGGAAAGGCTAGGCTAGACAGGCAGGGGGCTTTGGAGGATATTTTGAAGGTAGACAAGAAACTGGTAGCTAACACAGTGGAGTATCTCAACACACTTTTTGTCCCAACAACAGGCCCTCAACCACATCATGAAGAGATGGAAGTAGATGCAGATTGATGATGATACAAGTAGGTGATGAAGACAGAGGTGGGGAGAAGACACAACTTTTGTAAGTAACAAACAACTTTTTGCAAATGAAGACACAAGCGACAACATACACAAGATCAGAGACTGCCACACATAACCATTTACACTAAAACTAGGCTTTTTGTATGTTTTGTAATGGTTAGGTGTCTTTTGTTAAATAGATTGACTAGGCAGTCATGACATGCTATTCCATATGAAGTAGTGCTTTTGTAAAACCAACAATTTTTTGCCCAAATGAAGTGGAAATATTAACATGATTTGAAGGTGCTCATGTATGGCAAGACCATTCTTAGTTAATTCCATGAGATGGGAATTGATTAACCATGTTAGCAACCATAAGTAGGCACCTCAACAACATTTCTTTTAGGGAGAATGTTGGAGCATCCTTCCATTATGGGCTCAAGTCATAAGAGTCCCTTCATCATTTGGAATTTAATTTACACTTTGATGCATAGTACAAGGGGGGGGGGGACTCAAAGCATCAACAATACAAACACCTAATGGGACTCCAAAGTATTTGTACACAATGCCAAGAACACAAGCACACAACAAACCAGAAAACCCAAGTGTCTATTCCACAACCCAACATGCCATCATCCATACAACACTAACTCTCCAAGTTGCATTCTTATGGACTCAATTCAACAGCCAACCAACAAACATCCAACACATCAAATACAAATCATAGCAACCACCAGTAAGGGACTCATAGGAAGAATAATCATTTAAAGCACAGGACAATCATAATCACACAAACCAGCATCAAAACCATCACTCAAAATGGTCAAAAGTATGAAATCATGACCAAATCTGTCTACCACAACCACCAAACAACAACAACAACATGAAAAAGCCTCAAACAGGGCAACAACAAACAACTAATAAAGCTAACAACATCAAAAGGGACTCAGATGCATATGTAAGCATGAAGGACTCAGAATTAAAACCAAAATCAAGGAATTAGGGTTTAGTAATAGTTACGCTGCAAGATCAAAGATCTGGTGGGAAGTCATGAGGGTACTTGTCCCTCAAAAATGCCATGTAGCAGGGATCCCAGTCACTGTAATCATCCTTCCAGACAGATCTGCGCCTCTTTTGTCCACGAGGTGACCCGCCACTGCCGGAAGCAGTACCAGCGGTGGTCTTCTTCCCAGAATCAGCCTTTTTAGGGCTTTCCTGCTTCCCATCATCAACGTTAACCACTTCACCACCAGCAGCAGGGACATTAGCAACCACAACCACCGGATCTTGACCCACCACCGCCGGATCTGCCTCCACTTCCTCCTTCTCGTCGTCGCTAGAGATATACTCCTCCAATTTAGCCCGATCTTCCCCCTCTTGTACCTGGAAAAGGAAGAAGAACACCGTTGTACTGGTTTCATGATTCCAGTACCCCTTTGAGGTAGATACCGAGTAACGGTGTTGGAATCTTTCTCAGGGAGTTCAAGGGACTTCAACTCGCGTTTTTTGGAACTCATTTTCTTAGATAACAAGAGGGGAAAAAGAGAAGACAGAGGAAGAGAGCGCAGTTAGGGTTTGTAGAGAAGGAGGAAGAGAGAACAAAGGACGCAGATGAGAGAGAAAGGATGAAAAAGGAGTAGATCTAGGGTTCTTCTTGAGAAATCTCCAGAAGAAGGGAGTTTTGGGAACCATGAACGAGGAGAATTGAATGATCTTCATTCAATTCTGGTAGTTGAGAGGGTGGATGATTTCTGATGAAATCAGTTTGGGGTGGGTATTTTTTGGTGGGAATGGTTAGATTAGATTAGTGTTAGTAAATTAGATTAGGAGTTAAATAAGAATAGGTTAGTGGAAATTAGAAAGGGTTTAAAAAAATAAGGGTAAATTGGTAATTTTGTCATTAAAAACCTACCATAAAAGGAAAGAAATAAAAATGTTGCAAGTAATGTGTAACGGTTAAAAATGGTAAAAGTTGCGAGTAAAAAGTAACGGAGGGAGTATATATATATATATATATATATATATATATGTATATATATATATATATATGTATATATATATATTGATAACATAGTTAATACTCCCTCCGTTTTTAAATACTTGCTCCACTTTCCTTTTCTGGCCGTTTTTAAATACTTGCTCCATTTCCTTTAAGGAAAGCTTTTACAATATTTAATTCATTTCTCACACTTAGTGGACCAAACATAATGCTCTCTCTCCTCATATTCTTCCACTACTTTTGCTTTTTACAATTTTTTATTTTTTCAACTACCCCACTACCTCTATATTTTATTACTTTCTCCAATTTCTTCTAAAACTCCGCGCATGGAGAAATAGAGCAAGTATTTAAAAACGGAGGGAGTAATTGGTTTAGATGGTTAAATAGTCATCTTTGTTATAAAAGAGGTTAAGGGTTTGAATCCCCTTATCCCTATATATACGGAGTAATGTTGGTTGATTGGGTGATGTGACACTATTTGAGTGATGACGTGTAGTCGTGAGATGTTGGGAAGATGACGTGGCACAATAAAGAAAAGAGATGGCGTGACACATCGACGTTCTTGGGAACATTTTTTAATAGATAAGTATAGATGTGTAATGGAAAATGACTTTTTTTTTTTATTTCCATTTTGCTTTGTTCGGTTTGTGAAAAGGTGGAAAAAAATTTCCTAATGATGGAAAACATTTTCTCTTACAAAATAAGGGAAGCTACATCTTCGTCCCTTTTCCATGCCTCCTTTTTACTTTTCTTTCATCCATCTTAACATTTCCAACCCTATTATTAATTTCTCTCTAACCTTACTATTCTAACTTATATTAAGACCATATTTTGGAAAGTGATTCCACACTTGGGAGTTATAAAAATATAGGTCTATTCTAACTTATATTAAGACCATAATTTGAAAAGTGATTCGAATGATTTTATACATCATTCTAACACTCCATCAAACCTAAGTTTGATAAATACTCATTTTTAAACTACGACACTTGTTTAACTGGAAGAACTTCACTTTCAATTAACAAAATAGGACAATGATGACAAACACTAAAAAAAAGGAGAGATAACAAGAATACACATGCGAAAGTTTGCTCATATTTTAATATCATTGTTGAAATAAGTTGAAAATTACAACTTAACTTCATCAATCTTGGACAAAAAAGTCACATTCAATTACGAGCTACACTTTTCTTTCTATTTTAGATCCAGTTTTGAAAATAATATGATTAAGTATTTTGCGTACTAGAAAAAATTGCTTCATTTTATTTCAAAACAAACTTTCATTAAATTGGACTCTCTCCAAATTTTGAATTCTAGTTCGAAATAACATGTTTCCAATAAAAAAAAAATAGTCTTCAAAATTTCCTTTCTGAATTTTTAATTCATTTCGCCAATGAATAAATTTTCAGATTCGCAATAACCTTTTGGATGATACATGTATATACAAAAAGATTTCCAAAATGAATGAACTAAGTTTCGACCTCTCCTTAACTCAAACTTGTTCTCGCCTTATCATCCGGTTAATATTGGCTTAGGGATGGTAAATGAACCACCTACAAGACCAAAATCAAAGATTGATAAGAACAAAGAAAATATTTGATGATCTAAAATCAACTTTGACAATAAAATTATCGCAATGATCTTTACAAAAGTTTAGACATTTGGTAAAGATTACTAAACCTTAACTGCAATTGTTTTTGGTTTATAAAACTAACAAGGAACTAACTTGCTTCCTTAAAAATGACTTTAGCTAAAAGGCGTTAGCCATGTCATTCTCCTAAAATGTTCTCAAAACACAAAAACATAGTATACATAGGCTCATTCCAACATCATGATGATATGAATGACCTAAACAAAAGCAAGTCATTAGAATTACCCCAAATTGGGGAATCCAAGACTTATGAAATAGCAAGAATGCGCATAACCTGACACATGGGGGATCCAATATCCACAATAAAAAAAAAGAGATATTCATGCCATTCGAGTTACTTTCGAGAATCACCTAAACTACAAATAGTTTACGTAGATCTCGAGCCTTACAATTTTCAAAAGCATCTCAATGATTCAATAATCATTTTGTTCCTTTGAAAACTATGTTTGCAACTAAACTTGGACATAGAAACAAACTACAAACATATCACATATTCGATCCCATTTCAAGTTCAACTTCAAAAACTAATCTTAGTGCATAATTGTTGATTCAATACTTCAATTTACTATAGAGATTAGAGAGTATGACTAGTATAGAGCGAAAGAAACAAAATCATGAGTATCAAATAGAGTCCAAACGTATACAACATGCCTGCTCATATGAAAGTTAAATACTCAATCATTCATCATAAAAATTGTATCAAGAAACTTTATTAACATAAGACAAACAATTTTATGAATTAGAATGTATAACAAAACACTCCTAAATTCTAAATTAAGGATCTTCATTTTAATTATTCTCCATTGTTGCACACATTGGAATTTCACAAGGAGGATAACATCTACTTTCTTGAGCTTCAAATCAGTACAAAATTTGAACTCAAAAGAAAGAATTCGAAAGTATCAAGAATAGAGGAAAAATTTGAAGAACATTTCATTTTCCCTTTTACTTGTCTAATGAATGACCAATATTACTAGACTTAGAAAATTTCCTTTGTTAAAACTATGAATGGTCGAAAACGATTTTTAACACACTCGTTTAAACATTTCAAAGATCCTAGTTGTTGTAACAATCAGACAAAACATGAGATTTCCAGACCTAAACAACACGAAAGGGTCTAATTATTAAAAAAAGAAGCAAGTTATCGAAGTCACCCAACACTGGGGACTACAACATTCGAAAATATAAAATGGGGGCTTACAAGCCCAAAATATAACCAAGCTACACCAGTTCAATGATGTCTTCAAGAATTTCCTAAACTAACTAGTTTGGTGCAAATCTTGAAATCACTGTTTTATAAGTGAATAATAATAACTATCGGTTATTTTTATCATTGTTAAAACCAATTTTGCAACTTAT